CTGACCAAGGGGAAGGAAGAACTAGGATTAATTACTTAAATAGAGGCAGATTTTGTCTGACTACATGGAGACACTTGGCAATTATCTTTGTAAAATTCTAAGTGGCTTCTTTCTGAGGCAGTAATTTCCCTGCCACAGGAAATAGAACATAAAGAATAAAAAAAGTACTTACTGTTCACTGACCAAAAAGAAATTTTAAATGGAGAATATCATGATTTATTTACTACAAGTAAAATCATAACCTAAAGGGTAATAATGATCAGTCCTAGGGTTCATATTGTAAAGAGATCTCAAGTGTCCACTCAATTAAAGGAAGTTATCATAGATACCATATCACACAGCAAACAAGCTACATATCAAGAATCTCAGGCTTTCAGACACAATTTCCATGACTGCCTCTTATATTTTACAGAGAAATGTGTCAGACTATAGAGCTAGGAACTCCAATCTATTTGAAGAGGTAAAGAAGAAGTATTGATGAATTGTCTGAAAAGACTGTGAGGGGATAAATATATTTAGTGTCTGCTATAGAGTAAGCATGGTGGCAGGTGTTTGGCATGTTTTACCTCATAAAATTTCCCATAAAAAAATTCATAGAACAGCATTTTTTTTTTAATTTCCATTTAACAAATGGGGAAAAGAAGATGCAAAAAGGGTAAGTAATCTATCCCAGATTTCAAGGGTAGAAAGTTCCAGAGCAGTGTTTGCACAAAGATCTGTATCATTCCTAGGTCCACATACTCTCTCTTTCTTTTGTTTTGCTAACCAACCATGGAAGATTTCAAGCAAAAATGGGTTGAAGAAGGAAGGACAGGTGTCTGAAAGAAACAGAATTGAAACAGGTGACTTAATAAATTCCCCCTCACACTGAGATGCTGAGGAGCTTTAAGGGGTGTTGCACATCCAGGTGGATATACCACGAACACTTTGGATCCCCTTGCTGTAGAGAACCCATAGGCTGACTTGGCAGTCACCCATCACACTGTGAGGTCAGTGCTCCAGCAGAAAGCTCCATTGTCTGTCCTTCAAAAGTAAGTTTTACAGCAGAATTTCACTTCTTGTGTAAATCAGAGTTCTGACTGCATAGTAACAGACTCCAACCTAAGATGGCTTGGAGGGTGGGGACAGGAAATTTATTTGAAAGAATCAAGATAATCAAGAATGGATGGAAATTAATAAAGACAAGGTCTCTAGAAGGGACTGAAAGGTGAGAAAAGAACCTTGTTAGATTTCATATTCTCTCTCTCTCTCCTCTCTCTCTTTCACACACACACAACTCTATCTCAATCTCCACCCTCTGTTTCTTTTTATCTCATTATCTGCTATGCTTATACTTCTTTCCTCTTTTGCAAAGATCCTTCTGATTATCTGCTGCTGTGGCAGATAGCATCTAGGCCCATACATTACACACACATCTCTTAATTACCGTCTCTGGGCTCCAAGACATTTTAGTAGGAGAGTGTATCTCATTGGCTCATCTTAGATGAAATCTTCACACTTAAATCATCAGACAGAAACAGAAAGGTATAGTCACACACCAAACCTGCTGGGAGTTTAACCCTATGAATCACTCATAAAGTTGGGTAGATAGGTGGAGCAAGTCTCAAACAAACTCACCAGTGTGACTCTCCCCTCCTCAGCCAAAGCCATCTGCTGCTTAGAAGTGACAATCTTTCCAGAGGCACCTGACGGTCAGGGAACTTACTGCTGGTTTAGAGCCCCAAAGTGTATTGACACCCACTTTAAAGATACCTGTTCCCCAAGAACCTGAGCAGACAGAGCAGATATAATGGGAACTAAGAAACATTCTAGGCGCCTTATAAATGTCCTCCTATCTAAAGGCATGCTCTGAGCCTAGTTCCTGAGAGAAAACACTAGATCAGGATTCAGTAAACCTGATTTCAAACTCTGGCTCTGTACCTCCTTGATATGCAATTTTGGGGGAGTGATTCACTCCCCCAAATTGGAGGCTAATAAATATGGCTGGCATACCACAGAGAGCTGTTCAGAGAAGCAAATGAGATAATATCTGTGAAGCTGGCACTATATAAAATCTGAAACACTAAGCAAATGTAAGGGATTATTAGTAATAGGAAAAATAACAGGAAACCAATGAGTTGTAACACTTAGGTTACCTTTGCAAATATCTATTCCACTACGCTCTTTGAAGTAGAAAAAAATCATGCTGCGAAGAATGTAATGAATGTGAATTGTATTTATTCTATTTTTACGAGGCATGGCTGGGTGGAAAAATCAGTGCAGTTCAAAAGTGAAGTATCAAAGGTGTCAAATTTTCAGGAAAAAACAGAGCCTTCAGTAGCAGTCATCACAGCAGTATTAATAGCAGCAATACAGGAATAGCCACAATAGCCGCACGATTGCCACATAAGATGTACAATGCCACACATCTACTACGCAGTGTCAGTCCCATTCAATTCACACAAATTTCTCAACTGAGTTCCCCATTGTCTCCATTTTAAAGATAAACCAGAGAAGGGCTTTTTAGTAAGTTCGTCACCACTTCAAAGGTAAGTGGTAGTG